TTTGCATCCCTTTTCCCGTGCTAGCACTAGAATTTTTCTAAAAAATTTCTCTCCGTGTACAAGTCGACTCATCGATTGCAAACTAATTTGAGAAACGGGGAATCCCACATTTCTCTCATCTATGAAAATGTTCAGATCCATGATGAATGAAGTTGCAGGAGGTCAAAACTCCGCGATCTCTCTTTAAATTCTTAAATATTTTTCAAAAACCCAAAATTCCTAAATTTGTTCCAATTGTTCGTCTTCTTCTTGAATCTCATTTCTCTACAAAAAATAGTATAAAAAAACAGAAGATGACATCATACGCAAACTAATTTCCAGACCAAAAGATCCCAAAAATGTGCACTAAAACATTAAAAAACAATGATATGTTCAGTGAACCGAATGAAACCAGTCGCAAAACTTAAATCAATCAATTGATAATTTTATCATTTAGATTCAGATGTAAATGCGCATCAAAGATACGAAGAGGAATACGAAACAAGTTAATCTTATTTGCGCCTCAATGAATATCTTCAAAAATCTATTGAAAATATCAGACATTGCATGAGATTGATATTCCGCTATCTTCCTCAGATTTCCGTATTTTTTTCTAAAAACCTATTTATTGCAAATCCACTCATCCTATTCTATTTCTTCCCAACTTCTCACTCTAAAAACAGAAGGTAACATCATGTGCAAATTAATTTTCACACTACGAAGTAAACAAACGTTCATATTAAAACATTAAAAAACAATAAAATCTTGAGTGAATTGAATGAGCCCAATCGAGGAGCCTAAATCAATCAGTGATAATGTTATTGTTCAGAATCAGATGGAAATGCGCATGACGGATATCATCGAGCCTCTGGGTATTGGCGATAAAAATCCAGCCAAAGAGGTATACGAAACAAGTACATAGCTAACCTTTTCAGTTTAGATTCCTAGTCTCTCTATCCTATTTACTAAAGATGAAAGAAACGTGAAGTTCTTTTATATCGAAATATCTCGAAACTGCCTGACCGCTAATCCTTAATTCTGATTGGTCAATATGTGACGAAGTTATTCACAAAAAAACACGCGGCATTTTCAAATTCTTCAGTGACATAATTTCAAATTCTTCAGAGGTAAATTTTTTTTTCACGTCATATATATATTGTAGAGATCAACTCAGATAATAATTATCAGGAAAAATAGGGGCGATTTATTATTTCCAATCTTACATACGAATAAAGACACAAAACAAATCACACTCTCTCTCTCGCACCAACCCTTAGTAACCATTCGAACCACATTATTCTCATTCTCATTCCAAGGGAGGGGAAGTAGATAGTTTAAATAACTCAATCGTAACAATATTGTAGGATTCATGACAGTAATTTTAATAAAAGATATGATACGATTTATTCCTAGAAAAGAAAGTTAAATGTTCAAGTACATAAATATACAAGTCTTGACCCGACACTACGAACTCCGGCTAACAACTAACTCCCCTAATCATTTGCTCGTCCTTAAATGCTAAAAGTGTCCTCTGTTATCCTCGTCTTTCTCACTCACGTTCACACTCATTCCTTCTCATTCTATTTTCCACTCAATCTTTCTCACTCTACTATTCACTCATTCTATTCACTCACGAAATTACACTCAGGCCCAAACCTCACTTTATTATTTTATAATCTGACCCCCGGTCTCTCAATTCCCCCGGGTACTTCCCCGATGGACAGACACTCCGGCGGATTTCCCCGTTGACCCGTCGCGGCTATAGAACTCGGGATCGCACTGTTATTTTATGGCTTAATCCTCGTCTTTCCCAAAATATTCCATCAGGCCTTTTCCCACCTCCCCTCATGGCGTTTTCCCTTCACTATGTTTTTCCCCACTAACACTCATTCACTTAAAATATGTATCCCACAATATATATTTCACATGTATATATATTATCGGTGAAATTAATAAATTCTGTCCTTTATGGAGACCGATTATTAAAAAAAATTGAAGATTATTAATTGAAAATGAAAAGTTCTTTATAGATTCTTTTACTCTTCGTTATTCACTTCAATCATTAGTCGAATTCTCTTTGATTCATGATCAATATTTATAAGGTATTTATGAGAAAACGAAACTCAATGAATTCCATTTCTTCATTTCAACAAATGAATAGATCAGCGCGCGCGAGAGCGCGCGCATAGATCTTGTATTATAAAAATCCAAATCGATTTCTCGTGACGAAAATTTGGTCTTCGAAATTAGACTCCAAAATTATGGGTCAGAAATGAAGGCTCAGAAATGAAGAGTCAAAAACTAAGGATTAGAAACTAAGGGTCGTAAGGGTCGTAATCCAACTTGTATGACGGCTCAAAATACTTGTTTTGATTATAAGAGTTACTGAAAAAAAGATGAGAAAAATAAAAGGGGACATAATTATGAAAATTCAAGTTTTTTTTTTTAATTCGGTATTATGAGCATCTAGTGATGGAAAAAAAAATACCCAAAATCTTCTTATAGATCCTATTCTAAAAAGAACATAAAGTCGATAACTATCGATATCTCGCAAATCTGTCACGCTTATTCCTCACTGGTTCCAGTCCTCTGAGGCGGCAAATTTAATTCATGATTAATTTAATTTTGAGATTTTCAATTATGATTGTTACAATTACAGCGCGCTGTAGCGCGCGTTTGGTCTTAGTAGAAAAAGGAAAATTTTGAGCTGTGATAAATTGAAATCGGCTAAATAGAACCCGAGTTATTGAAAAAAAAACGAAAAAACAAATAAAAAATCATGTCTCCGAAATGGGCTGTTGAAAAAATACGAAAAAAAGTTGAGAGATAGTTTTTCTAGCCCTCCAATAGTAGGAAATAATCGAGATCAATTTCCAAAAGGGTGCAATATACTTCCGAATGGCCATTTTGAACATAATTCCCTTCTATCATATACAATTAATTGTTCACTTCATTTTATTAATTTGAATAAGATTTCTTTTCAACTGATTTTGTCAGATTCTCAATTTAGTTGAATAATATCATCATCATTATTCTTATTCTCCCATTCTTCTATCCAACCGATTGTCTTTTTTACGGTTCTATCTCTCCCCTCAGCCCTTCGATAAAATATTAACAGAAAAATTTTGTTTACACATCCTTAATTGAATTTCTAACATCACATTTGAAGAAATCATCAGAGAGCTCACTATCAGGGAAATTCATGAAAAATTCGAAATTGTCAACAATCATCATAAAAATCAAATCAACCAATATAGCTATTGTAATCATCTTTTAATTTCGTCTTAATGGCATTGAAACAAACATTTTGAGCTACGATTGCATTCATTTAACGCATGATATTTAAAGATATCCTCGGAATTCTGATTTCCAAATCCTATTTTAAAAAGAACATACACTTAAAATCGATAACTATCGATATCTCGCAAGTCTGTCACGCTTATTCCCCATTGGCTCCAGTCGTCTGAGGAGACAAATTTAATTCATGATGACTAATTTAATTTGGAGATTTTCAATTATGATTGTCACAATTAGAGCGCGCGCTCGGTCTCGTAAATCAAAATGTGGACGTCCACATGAAAAGGGATCGCTTTGTCGATTCTAGTTTCCTAGATATTTACGTTTTTGTGTCAGCAACTCCCATTTGCACCAATGTTAAATTGTTTTCTCCGTCTTCTCCAACGACGTCACTTTTGACCCTATGAAGATCATTTCGGGCTCAAAAAATGCGGAATGTTATCAATATTATCAGAGTATACATAACACCATATCGACAAAGTGGTCCCTTTTCATGTGGACGTCCACAAATAACGATTACTGCTATCGCCTTCATCTTCAATCTCAGTCAAAAGGATATCCAAACAAATTTTTCAAGCCATGATTCAATCAATTGAGAACATTTTTTTTAGTTACCGTGGGACAACGGATTNACGATTACTGCTATCGTCTTCATCTTCAATCTCAGTCAAAAGGATATCCAAACAAATTTTTCAAGCCATGATTCAATCAATTGAGAACATTTTTTTTAGTTACCGTGGGACAACGGATTTCGAAAAAATTCTAAAATTAAAAAATCTCATCGATGAGTTGAATTCAAATTAATGTCGATGGATAGGGCTCGACAATACGAAAAGAGAATGATTTAATTCAGTAGCGAAGTGGTAAAACGGTTTAAGTCGATTTTGACTATTGGCCAGTTTTCAGTGAATATCACGGAATCTCAGGAAGATAGCTAAATTTTGGTTAAGACCTTTTTTGTAGCACTTAATTTTCTCTAGAAAAAAGGTTATTACGAAAATTTCGTTACCTCCTTTAGATTCGGAGATATTCTTCAAAAACTCAACGAAGAGATAAGTCGACTTCAACCGCTTTACCACTTCGCTACTGAATTCCATGGATTCATTAGCGAAAAATTGCAGGAAAACGTTACCACACACATACGCACAAAAATTGTCAATTGTCAACGGATGGCAATTGAATCGAATAAAATCAATCGCGATACTTGCATCACTGAATTGAAAAAAGAATTATCAATTAAAAACCCATCCTATGCAAACTAATTCTCCTTCCCCCCCCCCCCCCCC